AAAACTCTTTCATTGTTATGCAATAAATTCTGTTTTATGTCACAAGATCAACTACAATAATTTAAAAAAACAACATCCCACAAACGAAACTAAGAGCTTGCTACAGATTTGGCTGAAACTCCTGGCAGCCAAAACCCAGTCTCTGAAGCAGAACAGGACATTTCTCTACAGACATGGCAACAACTGCTGGCTTTGAAGTCTAAGGGACACAGCCCCCTGGAGGTCCTCAGAGTTGAGAGTCCCTCAAGAAGGCTGCAACGTACTGAGCAGCAATGATGTCAGTTTGAAGACTAAGGTGCACCTAATTCAGGCCATGGTTTTTTCAATCACTTGCTGTGTGTCTGAGAACTGAACAATAAATAAGGATGACAGAAGAATAAATGCTTTTGAGCCGTGTTGGAGAATACTGACTATACCATAGACTAACCACAGGAACAAATAGGTATGTCTTGGAAGGTACTGCCAGAATGTTCCTTAGAGGCAAAAACAGTGAAGCTTCATCTCATATCCTTTGGGCATGCTGTTGTGTGCTGTCATAACTGACCTATCCTATAGCTGCCTGTCCGGCTGGTTTTCGGAGGCAGTAAATCCCATGAGAGAATCTGGTACAGCCTTCTCCCAAAGAGAAGCTGGTGGATCTGAACCATGAGCTTTTGGTATTGCAGCTCAGCTTCTTATGACTAGGCTACCAGAGTTCCCTTGGGTATGTTATTAGGAAAGGCTACTGTCAGAATTAGGGGGGCTGCCTAAGGACAGGGAAGGGTTCAGAGCTGCTGTACACAGGGTGGCTATAGGTTGCAGGTGACTCAACGGCACATAACACAACATATTGGTTGGTTTTTTTTAATTTTTTTTTTATTTTTGACAATTCACAGCAAAAGCCAAAACAAAATCTATTAATCAAAAAATGCAAATTGACAGCAATGGGACAGGGTTATTTTTTTGCCAGTTTGACTCACACTGATAAAGGCACTTTTGTATTTTGTACATTGTTAAGTCACCTGGCAGTTCAACTGTGAGAACTTCAAATGCACACTCTTTAGAACCTAGCGTACATTTTAATAAAATACATGTAGTGATTTTAAAAGAACCTTGTTTACAGTGACACAAAAATAAAAACAATCCTCATGCCCATCAGGCAGAAAACTGACTACTTAGATAGAACAATGCCATAACACAGAGAGACCCACTCATATGGAATTACCATGCACATAGAACCATCTCACTTTAAGGCCCTAAACGAAGTTATATGCATCCCTATATAGGTCATGGAAAGATAGGTATCACAAACTGTTGATAGCTGTCAAGCAGGCATATCATCTTTTCTTCAGATATATTTGAGTGTTTTACTTAATAAAAACAAGAGCAATAAAAACTGAGTTCAAAACATAGAGCATATTTTCAAATGTTAGTAGATAAACTGACAGGTTTGGTGTGTTTTCTTTTTAAGATGGTGGTAGGTTATTCAGAATTATGGAAACCAACAGAAGAAACTGCAAACAAGGGAAGTAGGGATGAAGTTGTAGACGTACATGCAATTTTCCCTATGGAAGTGAAGGTTTTAAAAGCCTTTACTACCTCAGGAAATGACAAATAAAAATCAGGCACAGAAATAAGAAATCACCAAGTATGTAGAACACAGTTAATTATATACAAGAGTTAGGTTTCTAGATAAACTGAGAGCAGTTTGTGTTTTATATTCGTCACCATAACGTTAAGACAACTTTTTTCAGAAAGCAACTGGAGGGGTGAGGACATTCAAATGAAGGTAGAAAAAGTAAAAGGGCCACAGACTTTATTCAAAGTGAATGTAACATATAATATGTACAGACAGCACACAGTGTCAATTTTATTTGCAGATATAGTACTTCCAACTCAAGTTTACAAGCTACACCTTTGCCACAGCCTTGGCTAGATCTTAAACTAGTGTAGAATTCAGCAGTGCTAGAGTACTAATTTTAGATGTTTAGATGTTGCGTACTTGTTCTTTATTGTCATGTGCTTTGTAAGCCCCCGATTTACCAGGACTACATTCTTGGCCAGGTGCTGCATAACAGTTAAAAGGGATTCTTCAGTGTATAACAGGTAATGTTGTAGAGTTGGTGTCCATTCACCATTATCAAGAATTTTCAGAGCTAAGCAAAAAGCTCCTGCTACAATTTCAGAAGGAGGAAAGTGCACCATATCATAGTCCAACATAGTTAGTTCCATCAGGTACTTGGCCAAAGTATGTTGCTCAACATCAACCTCTCCAATCTTGGATGCTCTGCGAAGGACGTGCAGAGGCAGAGGACGGCCCAGACTAAAGTTTAGAGCTCTTAGAATCTTCATTTCCATCTGTCTGATCTGGTGTTTGGTGTAAGTATGGTCAGTCACAAATGCAAAGTCATTTATTTCTGGAGGGTACATTTCTTCATATTTGCTTGCAATAAACATGGCAGTGACACCAACAAGCTGTAGCATCTTCTTAGGTACACAATTATTCTGCCTGAACCGATCAATGATGGACACAGTCATGTACATGGTTTCCTGAAGCAACCGGAATTTCATCTGAACCTGAACCAGCCAGTCAATCAGGATGGCTCTCATGTTGCCAGTGACTTCTCGACCCACGAGGTATTTTGGTCTGATTGCTTGCTCTTCCTCAAGTTGCCTCAAGTAAGTATAAATATCTTTCACATATTCACTACAAAGGTTTGGATCAGCTCCATCATCTGCATCCACATCATTCACTGCAAGAATTACATCAGAGAAAGCCTGACACAGGTCTTCTTCTGCAGGGGCACATCCAGAGGTTTCCATTGGGCTTAGAGAAGGAGTATCCACCAAAACAGGCTCAGGAGACAGCTTTTCTTCTTTAACAACCTCAGGTTTCTCCTCTGGCTGTGGCTCAGGTTCAGGCTCAGGCAATGAGGCCCTTTCCAGAGGTTTTGATAATTTTTTTACAATAAATTTTCCAGCAGCTGAAGTTTTTGCTTCCTTTTTCAGAGCCATTTTGGGCTGTGGCTGTTCATTGACTTTGTTACCAATGTCTCTAAGCGCGACTCTTGGCCTCAAGCCAGGCTTCAATGTTCCAGCAGGGGCCACAGGTACCCGCTTGGCGCCTGCCATGCTGACCTCTGCTTTATTTTCAGAATTCATTTTCATGTTCCTGGTGACTCGCAGTGCCATGGCTTCTTCTTTACCAGGCAGCAACTCACAGGGAAGACGTGAATTAGGGAAGCCCCAGAGAAGCCGGGAAACCCAAAAGAACAAACAGCCGTTCCTGGACCCCAGCACGCCGCAGTTGTTTTTTAATTAAAGCCTCCTGTTTAGAGTCAACAAGACCTCAGAGAGAGCCTTTGTGTTTAAAAGCTAATTGTTATTTTGGAGGAACATTCTTCTTAGTGGTACAGCACTCTTCTGTCAATATGCTGTACTGAGGTAACCTGGGGCTGCTGAGATGCTGAACCTTGTGTCATTGAGGTGTCAAATGGCATAACTGTTACCCATGGTAGACACTGTTTGGTGGAGCTCCCAGTTTAAGACAGATTTGGAAGCAGGAGTAACGTCCACTTCCTATGCAACATGCCTCTGGAAATTCAATGGATTGACATAGTGATGACACCACAGTGACTGCATCAGAGATGGTAAAGATGAAGCGGGATAGGATGGAGTACAAAAGCACAGATGTATTGTTCATAGGGTTGCTGTGAGTTGTATTCAATTCAACAGCACACAGCAACAAGGCTAAGAGATACTGGGGAGAACCAGAGGACTCACTCGTTTCTTTCATATCCTCCCAGGCTTCATTCCATTGGCTAACCCATGGGGTAGACACCCCACTCTCAGATCTCGGGCCCCAGCTCTCATTCTTCCCAGGGACTGCCAGGTCACTCACCTCCTCATTGGTCCACTTGACCTTGCACTTGCTGTCCCTCTGCTCAGGCACATCTGAGTCTGTGTCCTGGTAGTGTGGTTCATCCAGGTCCTCACTGTGGGGAGAATAAAGGTCAAAGCCTTAAGTGGCCACCAGTGACATGACAAATGGATGCTGTGGGTAGATACAGTGGTCAGGCATGACTAGGGGAAAACAGAGGTCCTTTACCTGCCTGTTTAATGAAATAGGGTTCTAGCTTTGTTTGTTTTCATCTTTAAGGAAAATCCGAATGACTTTGAAAACCATAAGAAAACAACGTTAGGATGTCAACATCATTTTAACACTCAGTACCCACTTGATAATTTTTCAATAGTATCCACTTCCATAATCCTCCCGACTGCACAGAGATTGTAAAGATTAAAGCTGACAATGTGTATGATCATCAAGCACTAAGATTCTAACGGGATTTCTTAAAAACATAAATATTTCACTTTCATGTTTGCATATCCCCTTCCCATCTTGACGTGCATACCAGCATAGCTTGTGGGAAGAAAATCAGAGTTCAAGCAGATTTGGTTTCTAGATTCTTTTATTTCTACATCAGGCAGTTTTGCAAGTTGCTCCCAAAGCCTCACAATTATTAAGTTTAATGGACACAGAAGAGATCTCATTATCCATCTCCATGGATGACAGATGCTCACAGAAGATTAGGAAATTTCTTCCAATTCCACACACACACACACACACACACACACACACACACACACACACACCAGGACCTGCCTGCATCAGGTGGCCTCTGGGCGGGGCACGAGGCATTTGTAAATTCAGGAATCTTCACAGGAAAAAAGCTTCCTGTCACATGGACATTCCTGTCCCCTCCATCACCAGAACTGAGGAGTGTTTCCTGGAGTTCCCACAGTTCGCCAGGCCTTCTCAGGGAAAATCTTCCTATCTCAGAACATAAGCTTTCTCCTGCAAAGGATTGCCTCTCCACGTCATCGTTTCTCGGAGAAAGTGAAGTCAGAATGCTCCTTGGAAGCAAAGATGATTAAAGCTTCAACTCACATACTTAATGCATGTGGCAAGGAGGGGCTATTCCTTGGAGAGGGACATTGTACTGAGAAAGGTGGAAGGTCAGAGGAGAGGCAGACCCTCAGCAGATGGACTGACATAGTGCTGTAATGGGCTCGAGTGTGTCAGGAAGTGTCAGGATGGCACAGGATTCAGATGTGTTGTTCACAGGGTCACTACGGGTCATATTTGACTCAGTGACATCGAACAATCATGTCATCAACACCTGCCAACTCTACGTCAACATCCACAGGGTCAGGACAAGGATGAGAGAACTACGAGGTCTTAAAAATGGCTCAGGGAACGGCCAAGTGCAAACGTATGTGCCAAGCTGCTGCCTGTTAGCCAATAAGAAGCTGGGATAAGCTCCTTGTCCAAAGGTCTAGGACTTAGCTTTGTCCTGTCATTCCCTTCCAACCAAATGCAGCTATTGTTGAGAGGACTCCATCTCATCACCGTGTGAGAGAGAAACTGTAAAAAGGATTGGTGGCATATTGGCTAAGCATTTAAGCATAAGAGAAAGGTCTCTAGTTCTAATCCAGAAGCTACTTCCAAGAGAAAAAGATGTCATAGTCTGTTTAAAAATTTGACTGCAATCCTAGGAAACTTTCTGGGCAATTCTACTCTGTCCTTTAGTGCTGAATCAGATTCAGTAAATTCAGTAACACACTGCAACTTTCTCTTCAAAAGCAGGGCTTTCTCTCATTGAGCTTTTTCTTGCTGCTGTTGTTGTGTACTGTCAAATGGGAACCAACCCCTGCCTGATCCTCTAGCGGGTTTTCAAAGACAGTAAATTGCACGGAAGGTGACCGTTCATTTTTCTCCCAGAGTAGCTGGTGGATTGGATTTAAACCGTGTACCTTTGAGTTGGCAGCGCAACTCCTTACCACTAAGCCACCTGAGTTCCCCATAGAGCTGCTGTGGTGAGCTCATACTGTGAACCTTTGAGGTAGCAACCAAGTGCTTAACCAATGCACCACCAGGGCTCCTCCACTGCTACACAGGAGGTAGTGCATCTAACGACATTAACAGAAATGAAACCAGCTTTAAAATTAATTGCCCTGGACTCAATGCTTGGGGGAACACTGGGTTAAGGGTGACGCAAAAATCTGTAAACAGATAATGGAGATAGCTGGAAAAACACCGGTGATTATTGTCACCAAACTGTACACTACAAAATGTTGAGATGACAAATGTTTCCTTACACACATATTTCTCACAATTAAAAATAATACAGGGGAACAAAAAAAAAATCAACAATTCCCAGAGACCTCACAGAAACAATCTCTCCTCCTAATAGAAAGAATCTCAGCAAACTTTCTTAAGGGATAAAAGGGAGTCTATCAGGACACTCTCTGAAGGAAGCATCAATGCTCTGTAAAAACAGACAGCATTTCAGAGAGCTGGGAGAACCAGTGAGATCTGGTGAGGTATTTCTATTACTTGCATCCTTATCTCCATTGAAGAGATGGGGAAACTGAGAACCACAAGACCCACTTTCCAAGACCACACAGCTAGGCTCAGAATCTCCTTTACCCTGCACCTTCCAGACCTCACCTGTACACCCTAGCTGAAAAAAAGTACAGTTTAATGGTAGCAATTACTTTCAATCCAACACACCCCTGCTTTTGCCCTTCAATGTGCTGAGGGGGTGGTGATGAGTCAGAGGTTGAGCAGGAACTGGGACAGAAGAGGGTGACAAGGAGCTGGCAGGGACAAATGGGGTTCCAAAGGTGCAGGTCCCAGCCCTCACATGGGAGGAAGTTCCTCCACTGAGCCCAGGGGGAAGGTGGGGGAGGATCAGAGAGCCTGGGATCATCTGAAAACAGCCATCAGAGGAACCCTTGTGTTTACCGAAATCAGGAAACTACTGGGAGTTGGAGCTGCCTGGGGAAGCGGCCCGGGGTAGGGACTCCCAGCGTGCTTCCCCGTTGGAGGAAGTGCGTTAAACCAGCAAGGGCGACTTCTAGGTCTACATCTTGGGCCCCGAGGAGGCAAAGCACACCATCCCCCGGACGGGCCCACGGCTGCAGCATCCAGCAGCGACGAGCGCAGGACCCCGTCCAGCACGCCCGCCGGGGCCGGGGCCCAGGTGCGCAGGTGTGGAGACGGCGCGGGCTCCACGCTCGGCTCGGTCAGCCCCGCTCGGTCCCCAGGGGACCAAGCGCAATGGAAACTGCAGCCCGAGCGCGCAGGGGACGCGGGTTAATAGCGGCCTGGACACCCTGCGGCCTCTTCCCCGCACCTCCAACACCAGATGCCCAAACTCCCTGCGTGGAGCACAAAGGGCGGGCGCTCAAACCAGACCAAGCTGGCGCCCCAAGTCCAGGCTGGGGAGACAAAAGAGCCCCCTCCCCAGGCCCTGCTCAGACCGGGGGAGAGAGCACTTGGGGCGCTGACCCCTAACTCAGGCTTGGACAAGTGTCTCCCAGGCTTTGGCTGTAACTTCGTGGAGACACGTTCTCTCTCCAAAGGGCCCCTCCCTTCCCGGTAAAGGCCCTTCCAGCTGACACCGGCCGTCCCACCCCCACCCCGCAATTAGGCGGGAGACAAAATGACATCATGCAGGGCCTAGCCCGGCCCCGGGCGACCCGCCGGCCCCGGATCCGATCCCGAGGAGGCGCCGGGGGCCGAGCCAGCGGCCGCCACGAGACGCCCGGCTTTGCGCGCGCCCCTGCCTCGGGCCGCCCCGGCCGCGGACCCTCCCCGCGGACCCTCCCGGCCTCCCCCATCCGTCCCGCGTAGAGGGACCGCGGAGAGACACGATGGAGCGAGGTGGAAATGCCGGTGGGGTGCAAAGGGGACTTGGAGAGGGAGCGGCCCCCAGCCCGCCTGGCTGCACTAACCAGCGCGTCCGCCGCGACATTCCCCTGGATCCCGCTCGCTCGCCCGCGGAGCCCGGAGCCGAAGCCGGACCGGGGCCGGGGTCGGCACGCGGGCTGCTCCGGCCACTCCGGGCCCCGGGGGCGTGCCGGGCTCGGTCAGCTCGTCCGCAGTTCAGGCAGCCGCGCTCCAGCCGCTGCCGCCGCCGCCGCCGGCGCGCACAGAAGCACTTTCCTATCTCGCGCCAAGAACGTCCGCGCCTGCCCCGCCTGGCGGGCGGGCGGGACGACGTGCGCGGGGCGGGGCCTGTACGCGGAGGGGCGGGGCCTGTGCGCGGAAGGGCGGGGCCTGTGCGCGGAGGAACAGGGCTTGGGGCTACCCAGTCAATTAGAGACGCGAACTCTTGATACGCGCTACGGTATACGTGGAGTTCGGAGAGTTTATGATGCTGCGCAAAGTTAAGCCAGTAACCAAAGGGCAAATAGTATATTACCTCATTTGTACATGTAAAAAGGGAGCTCTAGGGTTTAGTGGTGAGGAGTTGCCCTGGCAACCCAAAAGTACGTGACTTGAATCCAACCAGCTTGCTTGGTGGGAGAACGATCGACAGTCTCCTCCCGTGTGATTTACGCCTCTCATCACGCCTCTCTCTGGTGGATCAGCTATGGGTCGGTTCCAACTCAACGTTACACAACAACATACAAATAAAAAACAATCTATTACAAAAACAAGTTTTATTAGTGGCTACAGGTGTGAGAAGGACTGGGAAAGGAAGCATTAACAATGATGGGAAAAGCGCATTAGGCTGATTATTATCACTGCTGTCAATGTAATAAGTTTTACACTGGTAAACATTTGAATTGGTAAAAATCAAGTGATAAGAAACGTTATTGTAACGATTGTAAATCAAGTGATAAGAAACGTTATTGATAAGAAACGTAAATTGTAAACCCTAAAATTGTGTCGTAAATCGTCATCTCTCTGCCTGTTGTTATAATCCCGCCGGCATATAGAAGATGAGTTTGTGGCTATCATACGACTAAGCTGGTTCAAGCTAAGTGTCAGTCTGGGATGACCCAGAAGTAGCCTACACACCAAGGACTAAGAAAGGGGAGTGAGGCAGGGGATGAGAGCAGGTGGCGGGGAAGGACTTGTGCAAAACCCCAGCTGATCCCAGCCTCGCTTCTGCCTTTCCTCACAGGCTCAGACCTAAGGCAGCCCTGCTCATCCCACCTTAGACCTCTGTGCTTTCTCTCCAGCCTCTAATTCAGATGGTTTTGGTTCACCTTAAAGACCCTCCTAACATGGAAAACTGACATTGCCTCTTTCAAATTTAAGACTCTTCTCTTCCTTGAGTCAAACGCCTTTGTTTAATAATGGGCTATAGCCTCTGCCTAGATGGTTACCACCCCCAGGCTAAAATAAATTTCCTGGCTTTTCCCCTTTGCTTGTGCTTTTATGGATCCCACCTGCCTGATTTTCATTTATCTTTAGGGTAGGCTGTCCACATTCTGTTGCTGACTTAAGCATTTCCTGCCTTGAAAAGATCCTTTAAGTTGTTCTAGTAACTCCAGGAGGCAAGCCCAAGACCTGACATACTAAATTCCGAGTACTTCCCTTGAGTTGACTTCAGTTTACCACGCTTACCAAGCGCTTAAACTCTCAATATCAACAGGCTTAGCAATGTTTTCCGTTTTGAGCTGGAGTTTACTGAATACCAGGCTCCTTGGAAAAGTACTGAGATAAGGGACAAGAGCTTAGGGAGACCTGGATGAACCCCAGCCTTAGTCCTTGCTAATGCTATAGATCCTCTTCCAGAAACTGCTGACCACCCGTGAGTATTTTAGACAGCCACTACAAATTTTCTTTCCCACAGCGGAAGGAAAACAAACAGCTCAAGTCCTAGAAGCTTCCATACCATTTAATTCAGAGATCTTCTCATTGACTTCTCTCATTAAGTAATTCATGTGAGCACATCCTCTTCATGGCTACAGCATTCTATTGATGTATATGGGCTCTACAGCTAGATTGAATCCCAGCTACATTTTCCAGTATTTAGGCAAATTACTTAGTGCTGTGCCTCAATAAAATATGGGATTTAAAAAAATTCCTTTTCATAACATACCAGCTACCATTCTGTGTGCTTTAGCTCATTTAATCCCTACACTAACCTTATGGGGTAAATATCAACACTTTAAAATGTGAGAGGTTTAGGGACACACTTCTTCAAGATCACACTGATAGTCAAGGAAAGATGGTTTCACTTCCTCCCACATCTTTTTTTTTAAATTTATTTTTTATTTTATTATTTTTTGTGCATGTACTGTCAAATCAGATCTGACTGGTACAGGAGGAAATTGTCCCTCCTTCTCCGGCAGAGCATCTGGTGGATTCAAACCGTGTACCTTTGGGATTGCAGTACAGCTTCTTGCCACTAGGCCACCAGAGCTCCCCTTCATCCCACATCTTGAACGTGTTGTCTGGGGGCACCAGTGCTTGGAAAAAGATACCATGTTGGGAAAACTAGAGAGTCAGTGAAAGAGAGGAAGGCCATCACGGAAAAGAACCGACAGGGTGACAAACTGAAAGAGTGACTGCAACAATGGGCTTGAGAAGCTCAGGGTCAAGTGTCAATCGGTTGTTCAAAAGTGTGAATCTTGAGGGACTTCATGTCGCCTAACCCAACTTATCTTGCAGTGTTAATCGGTATGTGTAAAGTACCAAGAACACTCGTCGACATGTAAATTCTATGCTATTTCTAACTAACTGGATCAGATTCACCAGCTATTCTTGTTCAAATTCGCAGCCTTGGAAACTTGATGGTCACCATGAGTTGGAATCAGCTTGATGGCAATTGGTTTAGTTTTGGTTCTGACAGTTCTTCTGTCTTTGTAGCACACAGCACACGCTCTGACATGGAAAGAGAGGTCCAGGGTCTGATGGCTGCCACAAGGTTCTGCCTAATTGAGAAGGAAGGGGCAGCTGCTTCTTGGACCAACACACAGGAGTCAGAGGAGGCTGGACTCAGTGCAGCAGGGAGATCAGCCCGTACCTGATGGAATTAGATGATCTTCACAGGTCTGTCCTCTCTCATCTAGTTATCATCATGCCAGCAGACAGCTCCCAGAGAGAGGACTCCCAGTTTCTGGGGTGCAGTCATACCTGGGAGTGTCTCCTGGGCTGGAGACTGACAGATAACAGACTGTAGCTCTTCCTGGACATGTTCCAATTAGACAAGGAGGATTCAGACATTTGATCATTCAACAATGTCTCTCTGGAGACTTGGTCTACCTCATTCAAGGCTTCAGATCCAACATTTAATCCTCTTGGAAGACAAAGATTAAATGGACTTGTAAATAGGCCCATCCACCAGGCTGACCACAGAATAAACAGACTTATAACAGGTAATCAGGGGAGCTCTGGTGGCCTAGTGGCAAGGAGCTGCAACTACAATCCCAGAGGCACATGGTTCGAATCCACCAGATGCTCTGCCGGGAAAAGGAGGGACAATCTCCTCCTACCAGTCAGATCTGATTTGACGGTACACTCACACACACACAAAATACCACAGGTAATCAGTCCTTCTGAGCCTTCCTGTCCATATTGCTGAGCATCTACCTATCCTTGTCCTGCCACCACACTTCTTCTGTCCATATTTTATCACTTGCCCTGGTGGTGCAGTTTATAAAGCAATCAACTGATAAATCAGAAAGTTGGCGGTTTGAACCCACCAAATGCTACATGAGAGAGACAAGGCAGTCTGACTCTGTAAAACGTACTGCTTTGGAATCCCTATGGAGCAGTTCTACTCTATCCTGCCCTACAGGGTGGCCAGCTGAGAGCCGGAGTTCGTTCACTCAATGGCAGTTATTTTAAAGGTTGAACAGAACAAAACTGATCTTTACTATAATGCTTGGCTCTTGGTAAGTACTCACCGAAAACTCTTTCACAGTTTTCTAAGTGAATTCATGAAATGCTAGAAAGCTAAAATGTGGGCTTGGAGAGAAGGCCTGGGGCTGGACTAGAGTTGATGGGAATTAGAACGCCGAGTTTGAACTTTTATCTTGTAACAGAGATATGAAACAAATTATTTTCCAAATGTTTCTGAACTCTTTTGCCCTAAGGGGTCAATAAAGAGAATAGATTCAGTAGCAAAGTGGGCACAAGCAAGAGAGGCCAAGAACCAGCACTGCAAATGTAGCACTTTATACAAGAGTGCATTCCAGAGGAGGAAAAAGCAATTTAATTACCTGATTCAAAAAAACAAAACAGATCTCAAGGAACAATAGGAAACTTAGTCAAGAGTTGTGTTCGAAAAACAAAGCCTGCACTTCTCTGGTAGTTCAAAGTCACCAGCGGCTCCATGGGAGAAAAATGAGCATTCTCCTCCAATGTTGTTTATCACTTCAACACCCAATTGAGGGGCCATGTCCATCCATTAATATCATCAGATCATTTTTGCATTCCACTAATCACCTTTTCTTGGAATGGACACAGATTTCTTCCAGTCAGTTGGCCAGATGGTCCCAATTTCTTGACAAACGAACATATTCAGGGCCACACATTGTTGAAACAGGACAATTGGTATTCTGTCAATTCCTGGAGCCTTTTTTTTTTCTAGTGTCTTCAGTGCAACTTGAACTTCTTCCTGTAGTGCCATTAAGGCAGAGTAGAAATATTCCATGAGATTTCCAAGGCTATAAATCTCTACGGAGGACAACTGCCACATCTTTAACTCTGTGGTGGGTTTGTGTAACCGCCGGCTGAAACCGACCTGCAGGTTCATACGTGTTCTAGAGTGGAACCTGTGCGGATTAAAAGAAGAGCAGGGACACGAGAGATTGGGGCAAGACAAAGATTCCTGATCAAGCCCAAATTTATTTGATGAATTCTGCTATAAATAGGCAGCGGAGTAGGCCGGGCTGCCAGGGAACCCAGCCCTAGGTTATCAGTTTACAAAAGAGAGGGAGGGGCATGCCCCAAGGTGTTGGCATTATCCCAGAGATGGACAGGGGTGGCAGCTGCATGTACTCAGGATGGCTT